AGGGTCAATGATACAGGGGCCGTTGTAGTTACAATAGGGTTTCGGGGTATGTTAGAAAAATACAGTCATTGTTTTAGTCTTTTTACGATACGTTCAGGACTTGTATTGATAACTACATTAAGGAGTAATAGGGTTTTATGATATAGCTCCGGTGAAATAGACTGAACCAGGTCCTTTAGCAGGATCCCGGTAGCAGGGAATGGCGAAATATGTATTGTGGTCGCGAGTTGCGCAGCAGTCAATCTTCTGAGTTGCGAGGGCGCTCAGCCGATGTGCCAGGACTCAACTGGGGTAGTATAGGGGCCTTAATAATTAGAACAGGGTGTTGGGGCCCATTATACTATACTTATAGTAAGGAACCCCCAAAGGAGTCTTGGTAATTATTTCGGCCCCTACATTAGAATTTCGGTTGAGGGCTCAGGAGGCACAGCCGGCAGATAAGGAGGATCCTACCTGGTGTTAGGCTCCTTTAGCACCTCCCCAGTTAAATCCCTGGACTGGAACCTGACCCCCAACTACCCTCTATTATATCCCGAATACCCACCGTTAAGGACCATAAGGGCTCTGTTAAAGGGTACTTGGGGGTCCTGGAGAACCTGAACCCTTGTCAACCCTAAACCTTGAGCCAACATCCTAAACCGTGCCCTGCCAGGCGAGAAAGCCCTCGTTCAGACGAAGCGTCTTCACACCCTTGTGGATCTCGTTGAAGAACCTGGGCAGTCGATTGGGAGCTTCTGAACTTCAAGCTTGGAGAAAAATACCAAACTCCAATTCCTGTAGAATCCTGTGAAGAACTCTGACTAAACCGAAGGCCCTAAACGAGAGCCCTAAAACTGAAGCCCGAAGCCGACAGCGGACTAGCCTTAACATCTTGCTCACACCACGGCAGCGCGCACCCCTAAAACCTAAGCCCTAAAAACCAAAACCCCAAAACCTTCATCCCACACCCCCACGCCTTGCGTTCGAATACCCTCCCTAAATCCTAAACCCCTAGTATGGGGGCCTTGATAATTAGCATAGGGTCATGGGGGGTATATTCTACTGTAATGTAGTAAGGAATCCCCAAATTAGTACAGGTAACTATTACTTATGAAGGCTCCTATATTACACCCCCATAATTTCCTTTATAGTAACCCAAACAGGACCCGCTTTACGAACCCTAAAAGCCCACAAGCTCTGTAAATATTAAGGCCCCTATACTAAATCCTTATACCCCTTCTAAGAATCCTAGTAGACCCCTTTAAAAGGAACCCTTACATGAACCCTATGTAAGCTCTGGATGGCAGGAAGCTTCGAGGCGTCCTTGCCCGCCCAGGCGAGGATCGTGGTCGGGCCGCCTGGATGTCGATCCATGAACTCCGAGAGGTCGTAGACCTTCTGGGGTTTCATAGGGATTCTTTAAGATTTGGGGTGTAGGGTTTAGGGTTCAGGGTTTAGCAAGGGTCTATCAGGGCCCATGAACTCCGAGAGGTCGTAGACCTTTTGGGGGTTAATATAGGAGCCTTAATAAGTAGAATAGGATTCTACAGGATATTATAAGGATCCATGAACTCCGAGAGGTCGTAAACCTTCTGGGTTTTTCAGGGTTCTTTAAGGTGTAGGGTTTAGGGTTTAGGAACTCCGAGACGTCGTGGACCTTCTGGGGTTTTCAACGGTTCTCTAAGGGTTATACCAGGGGCTCTGTAGGATTTCTACAGAGGTTCGATAGCGTCTTATAAAGACCTTTTGGCTTTGGGGCTTCGTGTTTTGCAAGGGTAAGACAAAACAAGGTTCTGTAGGTCTGTCAGGGTTCTACAGGATGTTACAAGGGCCCATGAACTCCGAGAGGTCGTAGACCTGCAATGACGTGGGGCTCATACTTTTTGTTGAAAACTTCTCTTTGCCTACATCCTCCTGTATTTTCGATCACACTATAGGACGGCACGTTTTTTGGGCCAGGTTTAGGATTTAGCGCTGTAGCGGTGCTTGGGTTAAAGTTTATGAAATCCAGGTTCAGGTAGGATCTGTGCTTCAGATCCAAAGGGTTTCGGACTGAAAGATTACTATAAAGTGGAGGCCAGAAAGTTGGAACGTCATTATCTTCACGTCCTCAGCATAGAACATGAGGAATCCCGGCACCATCCATCATACATTCACACATCCCTGTTCCAATGTTGTGCAGCTCACTACAATCTTGCTCCCTCCCAGCCTTCCCATTTAGCGCCACCCAACAGTTCTCCGGGACACAGTGACGGTTCACCTGTCGCCGCAGCAACGTAATGCTAAAGGGATGTACTTTCTATGAAGCCAGCAGGGGGGTTGCAGGATTAGGGTGCAAAGCTTTGTGCTTAAAAGTTTCGGATTCAGGCTACTGTAAAGGGCCACCATGATGTACGTTACTGTTACTGTCGCCAACACGAATACTCGCCTTAAGAATCAGACTTGGGTTTGGAGGTGCAATATACATATATAGAACATTATATAACTATAAAGGGATACCATTACAAAACATTCCGACGACCACACTACCGGTTGGCACCATTCACAAGCTGGCAAGGGACTAGGGCTCTCTTCTCTCTGACGTCTCCAGTCCCCGACTTCCTGCAGCAAATATAGGAGCCACAATCATGCGAAATAGGGTCTGGGGGGGGTACGTAACTTGTCGTATATTGATAATGAGGAACCCGCAGGAAGACTCGGTAGTCACTCAGGCCCCTATGCTTACTAAGTTATGAGCCATGAACACCGCGCAACCCTCAGCAAAAAAAGGACCCCCTCAAAAATGCATACTGTTCATTCATGCTTTCACCTACTTACTATCTATCCAATATCTACTCATTTGCTCGTTTAATTACTTCACACGTATGTACGATTCGTCAAATTTGCACGCCCCTAAACGCCAAACCCTAAACCCAAAAACCTAAACCTTTAAATTTTTAAATTGCCGCCTCAGAAAGCGGAATGCCTTTGGAGATGGCAGAAACTCCTCTCGGCCGCTGGAGGTTCGGAAGGTTTCTAGAAGGGCGTTAACATAAGGGCCTTAATCAATACAGTAGGACTTTGAAGCATAGTTTGCTATAGTTAGAGCCAGGAACACCACAAACAGCATAAGTATTTTTTTGGGCCCCTATATTCAAGGGATCTATCATGGCTATACAGGGATTCCTGTTCTATAAGGGTTCGACGAGGGCTCTGTAAGGGTTCTCTTAAAGGAATTCTACATTTTAGTGGTTCAAGTTCTCTAAGGGCCTCTGGGTTTTGCATTGGCTGAAAGTTCGGGGTTTAAGGGCTTACACGTCTCCAATGGGCAAGCAAGATTTAAACCTCCAGCCGTAGAAGTTCGGTTTGGCTGGGAGGGAACGTACGATTGAGGGTTTGAGGTAGTTTGAGGTATCAACCGTGCACCCGCTTCTTTAAGGGGCAGAAACTTGGCCGTACACCCCAAAACCCCAACTGCAAACTGAACCACTGCATCCTGACTTGCTCCCTATGTCGCCGTTCACCACCATGATCTCCCGAGCTCCTGGACTTTTTGGGTGTGGCTTCAGGGTTTAAGGCTTATGGGTTATAGGTAGGTGGACGTAGGCCTTAATAAGGATTACGGATTATAAGGTCGGTTTGGTGCTTTGGGTTTTCATGGTCGAAACTTCAGCGCGCTTCTTCTGACTGGGAGTTTAGAGGTTTACAAACGGTGTGATTAATCCGTGTTGGGCCTTACGGGTTTGGGTGCAAAACATTTCGGTTTTGGAGTTCGAGGTTTTGCTGGCGTTGAGCACATAATCCCTTCCCGCTTGAATTTAACACTCCCCTAATAATCAAAACACATTGGGGGCGAATCCTCGCGAAATCATCAATGCCCTTTAACACCTGTTCTGAACTAGGGGGGAGGGTCTCGAGGCTGCAAATACCCTCAGAGCACAGTAAAAGCGAGAGCAACAGCAAGAGCAGGAGTTAGAGCAGCAAGAGCAAAAGCGGGAGCATCAGCAAGAGCAGCAGCAAGAGCAAAGCAAAAGCAAGTGCAGGAGTAAGAGCAAGAGCAGGAGCAAGCGGCAGGAACAGGAAGAGCAGGAGCAGGCGCAAGAGACGCAGCAGAAGCAGGAGCAAAAGCCTGCAGGGCCTGCAACTACGAGATATACCTGTATTTTCTGAAACCTCTACCCCCAACCCTACACCCGGCAAGAGCCGCCGTCAAAAAGCAACAAAAAAGCCCTCAAACCTGCCTCGACGAATACAAGGGTGCAAGGCTTGACCTGGACCTCTAGTCACCTACCTTGGTAGGGCTCCTTGTTCTGATTTCTTTTTTATAGTCCTGAAGACGTAGGTTTTTTGGTGTTAAGGTTTAGTTAGGATTTGGGTGCACAGAATCACCGAACATGGCATCGAATGTAAGGGTCGGAATTTCCGAATTGAGCTCCTTGCGGGTCCTTGTTTTATCGTATATACCTATAGTATAAGATACTCGGAAAGACTGATCAAAATTTTAACTAGATTCTACCCTAATTGCCCTTGTCCCGTGCTGCCGAGGTTCGGCAAGGGCGGCGAGAACGAAGCTCCTCTGTGATCTCTTGATATTGCTGCGGCGCGGCGTCCGGTGGCTGACTACGGCGGCCCGTACAGAGGCACAACTGAAACAGAAAGGCTTCTCCCGCAAACCCTAAACCCGAAACCCCAAACCCTGAACCCTAAACCCCAAACCCTAAAGCCTTCTCTGATTAAGTAGCCACCACACGTAAGGAGGGATCCCCAGACCTTACTCCGTGAGGGTTATTCCCAGAGGCACCTGAGCTTATGAAGGTCACAGGTGCAGCTACATCGCAACCAGAGTCCTCCGGTCTTTAAAGTCGAGATCGAGAAATCTGTGGGCCTTGTTTACAGGGGCCTTAATGATTCGAATAGGGTTTTGGAACCCATTATGCTATTTTCATAATCAAGAACCCGCCAAGGCTCCTAAATAAGTCGAAGAAAGGGTCTAGGATGGGTCTGATTCTCCAGTCCCGAAGGCATGGAAGGCAGCGGCGCACCCAGGACTCATCGACGGCGGCCTTCCTTCGTGGCATATACTAGCTTATGGTTGGGATAGTATTTAAAAAAACTAAACTGCTATTCACTATTGGGGGTTAAGTACGCATAAACATGTAAAATGTTGCAACCCAACTATGACCAAGTATAGGTCTTAAGAGATCTCCAGGGGCGCTTTACAAAAGACAAAAGGTTTCCGGAAGTTCCGAGGTCCGACCTCTGCACTCAGGAGTACGGATCGCCCTCTTTGCGCACTCTACGATTTCAGGCAGTAAGCCGGAACCTGGCCTAGGTGCTCTGCCATGGTTTTACTGTAATCCCCGCCCAAAGCCCTCCCCTAAGTATTCAGTCTATATCAAAGAGTATACAACATTAACATACTGGGATAGTATTACTACTTGCTACGGCCCTAAACCCTAAACCCCTGTAGCTGTGGGGCTGCAGGCGAGGTGCATGAGAAGCTCCGACAATCCGCCGGAGTCGGTGGCCTTCTCCACCTGCGTGGCTTCAAGATCGCTTGGTTCAGGGTTTAAGGTTTATAAGGGTTTATAGGGTTTAGGGTTGGGGTTTAGGGTTTAGGGTTCAAGGTTTGGGGTTTGGGGTTTGTGAATTTCGACGGCGAAACGGGTTCCTTTAAGGGCTCTATGAGGCTGACTCTAGTATTATGGGGCATACCTCTTCACTTTCGCCGGTAAGAAAACCGACCCAACAATCCTGGTCTCCCGAGTCCAAACCCAGATCCAAAGCTTCCCAAACCTGGTGTCTGAACCCCAAATCTAAGCCCCGAATCCGGGCCTATATAACTGCAATTTGATCAGCCGAAGCCGCAATGGCCCCTGAACCCCACTCTAAACCCTAAACGCAGCTCCTCTAAGTCAAATCAAAAAGACCCTAAACCCGAAGTCCGAAGATCCGTCAGCTTCCTAAGACCCGAAGCCCTGGGACCCGCATGTAGAAACCACACACCACATACACTGAACCCAAAACCCAGTAAAAAAGTGTCCCCAGGCCTTCTTGTAGAAATAATCCATAATCTAGCCAGAACCCCATCTGACACAATAAGGCCTCTATACTACCCCACAAAAAAAGCTCCAACCAAAGGGCCCGAGCCCTTCGGGGCCTTCTTCTCCAACTCTGCGCTGTGGTCGGCGAAGTTTTGGCCATCAATCCAGAGGCTGCGCATCAGCGCAAAGGTTGCCTCTTCGGGATTAGGCTTTGGCATTTGTGGTCCAAGGTTCCCTACTTGTACTTTCAAGTGGAGGAACCCTGTACGAGTTTCAACCCCAAAGAGAAAACCCCTTGACTTAAGAACGAAATACGCTCTGAAATTCTTGATAAGGTCTGGGCCTTCGCTCACATATGGACTAATTACGGGTTTGGGGTGTAAGGTGTGGAATTCGTGGCGCATGACCCAACAGAGCTGTTGGTTTTTATATTAATGCATACACGGCACCACGTGGGCAGAGCCCAGTCACCTTTTAGAGGTCCCATACAACCGAATGAAGGTAAATGCCTTATTGAGAATCGAGGGGTGTGTGTCGCTCCGACTACTTACTTGTGAAACGTCTTCTCACACCCTCAACAACCCTGCATGCAAACCCCCTCGAACCCTTCGCCTTGAACCGCTGGGACCCCAAAACCCCATACTATACCCTAAACCCATGGAAGCCACTGCGCAAAGAAATCCTCAGGTGCCGGCATCCGCGCTCTGATGCAAAAGCAAAGGATGCGGCCGACCCTGAAACCGACCTGTTCAAACACGGTTTGGGAGTTCAGGGCCTCTTCACTCTGCGCCTGCTGTTGCTGGGTTTGGGGCCTTTTGCAAACCCTAAGGCGCTCTAGAGCTAGGGTTTCGGGCGTGTTGTTCAGGGTTCAACGGGGGGTTGCGTGCTCAAGCCGGTTTGATGGCTTCGGGTCTTTTGTTTGGGGCTGCTAGGAGTTAGGACGTTTTAGGTTCTGGGTGAAGGGAGTTACGAGCTACGGGTTCACGTCGCAGCAACGGTTTCGGGCTTTGGGGCTCTGAGATGTCGAGTTCCAATCAAATGGGCGCAGGAAACAATGGCTTGGAGGTTGGGGTGTGGATGGAGTTACGGTTTTGGGAGTTAGGCGCTCCGGGTAAACACGAAAAGGATCTTTGGGTGTAGGATAGCGTAGGGCTTCGAGTGTCGGGGCCAGCGCTTGAGGGCTTGAGGGCTGTTTCGCAAGGTTATCATTGGAGGCGGCCGAAAAGAAAGGCTTAGGCGTTTTGCGACTGATGGGATTGAACAACTGGGAATTCCAGCCGGATTTCAACAACACCTCAACCCGATGCCTCTGAGCCCTTGGCCATACATACCGAACACTAAGCCCCTGAACCCTAAACCCTAAAGGGCAACCAACTACCGCAAATTCCCAGCCCAACATTCAGCTGTAAGACAACCTTCTGTACCCCATAGACCCTAACAGATAAGCTAGAAAGCCCTGCAGAACCGCTGCACAAAACCCTGTAAGACCCTAAAGCGCCGTGAACTGCATAACAGCGACCACCACTAGCCGGACGATTGCTGAGGAGAGGGCTGTGCAGAAATGCTGCCTTGGCCTTGGATCGCGCATCGTCCTAAACTAGGATCTCCAAAACCTGTCTATAGGGCTTGGGTGAAGATGTATGTGTGAGACTCATCGGAGCCTTAAGGAATAATGATGGTACATCTTGAGACACTGTATTCATGATGCTTAGCATCAAAGCCAAAACTACTGAACAAGCGGCACTAGTGCTCGACTTGGGGAGGCTTATAGGTGCGGGTTGGTTGTAAAATCCAAAGCGACGTGACACCGGAAGCCAAGAAAAGAGAAATAAACCCCGACCCCGCATGTAAAACACTGCCTCATCAAACCCTTGCTTGCATCTCTTACAGATCCCGGAACGTCAAGCTTGAGCTTTAGGCTACTTACCCGTCTACAAAGAGCGAAGCTGCATAAGAATCACGTGCATCTCAAACCTCAGAAACGCGAACCTAAACCCCTCCACCCTAAATATGTCAACAACGAGCAGATACGATGGGAGCCATAAAACTCATACTCGAAATTTGGGGCATCTTCGAGTATAACCATATGCATAGCCTGAGGAGTACTATTGGTAACAAGCTTCGACACTAAGCCTGTTTCAAACCCTGCAGTGCAATAACCTTGGTAGAACCCTTTGAGGAACACGCCTTATGGTATCCCTTGACAGAACCCTCAGAACCTTTCCAAAACACGGAAAGGTCAAAGCGCTCCAAGTAGAAAGGTGTTGTTCTTTCGCTGCAAGCTCTTGGCAAGCCTCAGAGCATCGGGCAAAGGTCTGAATAATTGCAATTGGGCTTGTGGGTGCATATCACCTATCATAGTGTAAGTAGAATGGGAACAACAATAGTGAGGGACTTTCAGTAGTGCTGATTCCGACGCCTCATTGCGTGAGGATCTTGCTCGCTCTTCCTTTTTACTGTTTACTGCTACTGCTGCTGCTGCTGCTGCTGCTACTGCTGCTTCTGCCAGCTGCACTGCTGCTACTGCGACTCCTGCTCCTGCTCCTGCTGCTGCTGCTGCTGCTGCTGCTACCCTCAACTTGATATCGGCCGGGACACCAAGCTCCCTGAGGGATCCCCAGAGCCTCCGCCGGGGATAGCATGGGAGCTTGTGGATGACAGTGGCCCACATTTTCGGGGCTTACGGCTCAGGGTTGCGGGTGCCAGGCTTCTTAGAGTTTAGGATACTGGGGTTCCACATATCTAGGGCCCAGGTTCATTGCTTTGTCTATGACGCTTGTGAAGCAGCGCGAATAGACGCGCAAGCAACATAAATAGCAGGCGCCGGAATCTAAATACAACTCAGCCTCCAACCGTCTTAAGCCACATAAATCCTAAAACCCCCCAATCCTACAACCTGAACCGAAATCTGCATAAAACCTTAAATCAAACCCTAACCCTATAACCTTCATGCAGTCTAACGCTGCAGGAACCTTTGTAAACCTGAACCGAGGAACCCTGGTACACCCCAACACCCCAAACCCGAAGTCCTAACCCCAGAACAAAAATAAGCGCCAAACCAGAAACGCCAAAGCCCCAAATCCTGCAGCCTCACCCTTCATGAATCCCAAAAATCCAACATCCGAAATTCGGGGGGGGCCTGTGCCCTGTAGATCTCGTCGGCCAAGGTGGCGAGATCTCCGGATTTCTGGAGCGCTAACACGGTGGAGGATGGCAGTTGCAACTCCTGAGGCCGGGATTTGGTGTTAGAGTTTAGAGTTTGGGATTTGAAGTTTATTTACAAAAGGGTTCGGAGGTTGGGGTTCGGGGTGCAACTGTAGGCTTCGGGCACTTCTTCGGCGTCATAAGTACCTGCAACGTGGCTATCGTATCATAGCCCTATCCCTTTACCCTGCAGACCCTAATCTGCTTCCTATGCCCTGGGCCTTGAAAGCAGGCTTCTCGTCGTGAGGGCTTTGGTCTTGTCGGGGATGAGGGTGCAGTGTTGGGAGGTTCAGGGCTTTTCTGATTTTAGGTACGTAGGGCTGTAGGCGATTTCGGAAGACAACAGTTGCAACCAGTCGGACTTTGGTGTGTTGCGGTTCAGGGCTCATCAGGGTGGCTATGCTTTACGAGGATGTGAAAATAAAGAGACAAAAGGAACAAGCATAATCATAGTGCAACAATGCATAACTAGAACAAGATGGGCTTGGGGCCTGGAGCGTCACATCTGTTCGCCAGTCGGATCCTAAGTCCCCGGTCTCTTCACCATCAAGACTACCCGAAGCACAAACTCACAAATGGAGATCCTTCACAAGGTAAGCATGTGTAGACTTTCCAATCGCTGTGAAACACGACGCAACACAACATCTTACCTAAAATGGACCGCCCATACCCCGCGATGGTTGCCGTCCTCCGCAAGATCTTCAACCGGGCCTTGGAGATAGATAGAGGATGGTAGAGGGCTCAACCCGGCCGAAGACATGTTAGGCTTGGCGTCATGGCGTCATCCTTTCTAACTATCAGATCCTGACTTTCCGAACCCCGAAGAATGACTTCCTAGTTATAAGAGTAGTCGTTCAGCCCATATGCAATTCATCAGATAACATACTCCAAACCCTGTCCTAAGTACTCTGGTAATATTCAAAAGCCCCCGTACTACACCAGGGCCCGGGCTGCGCCAAAACCTAAGCCCCTAGCCTCCAACACCGAGCTTCGAAAGTCCCAAGCCATGACCCCTAAAAGCTGCTGAACACTAGTGCAAACGCCTGGTTCCTACCCACATTCCGAAGTCGCCGGTGCCTAGAGCCGTAAACCAACCCCTCATCCCGAGCCTAAACACGAAGCCCTCTAGCACGGAAGTCGCAACAACAACAGCACGAGTCCATGGCAAGCCCTGCACAGGCAAAGGAGCGAGGATGCGACAGGCATCTCGACATGTTTGATGCGCGAGCGATTCAACCTCAGATCCAGAGTGGAAGCGCTCTGACCTGCAGTCTTCTGTGCAGGATTCTGAAGCCTGGAAGAGTCTCACTGCCACAAGCTCTTCTGCTGGCACAGCAGCCCCGACTAAACATCGTTGCTTGTGTTGTGCCCGCTAACCGTCTTCGGCACACCAATGCCGCAAAACGGATGCAAATATGCCACATTAGTTAATGTAGCTGACATGGGCGACGATTTGGATCATGTAAAGTGGGGGTCGCGTGCGCTGCACACTCGAGCGACTCCAGCGACAAGCCAAGACGGGTCTGGCACTAGCATGCCTAGGTGGCGGTGCGCTGACCTCCTTGACCACACATCGCCGGAGTCCGTGAATTCACAAAAATGCACTCGGGGGATGCCTTCGGGCCCATCGATACACATCCTAGACACATCCTCAGCCAAGGCTAGTCCATATACTCACCCGCCGTAATCGGCACAGAAACGCCGCCGTCCATGCTTTCATCTGAGGGACCCGCGCCTTCCCGGATTCTTCCACCACGACGAATGGGCCGCTTCTTCTTGTGGCCCAAGCTGAGGATGCAGGTGGGGCGAGAGAAGACGGCCACGGGCAGGTGGGGCTCAAAGACGATCTTCAGCACCTGGCAAACAATGGGCCGAATGACGACGCTGCTGAGGGCCACGGGCTCGCCGGAGTCGAGCATGACCAGGTCGCCAACCTTCAGCTTGCCAGCCTCAAGGTAGAGGCTCTCCTCCGTGTCGCCCTTCGAATCGGAGACCTGCACCAAGTGGTCCGGAGTCACCTGCAAAGTTGCAGCGCCCGCCTGCAACTCGACAACCTCGCTAGCTTCGCAGATCTCCGGCGTCTTGGCCACCTCCAGGATCGATGCGTCATCTCCGGCCACCACCTGTGAGCCTTTCTTCAGGTCTCGCCCCATCAAGAAGAAGTCGGTGCCGTAGCTCCGCGTCTTGAAGATGGCATCGACCATGAAGCAGTGAGGTTTCACGGAGTCCAGTTTCACCGAGAACCAAGAGGAGCAGCTCAAGACCGAAGACGCTGTCCCATCGTCATCCACCAAGCTGTATCCCAGCCGCTCAGCAAGATCGGGCTGCTGGCTGGAGTCGGAGGCTTCATCGCTCGGAGCTTCGCTAAAGAGCTTGTGACCGGAGGTGCGATGATGGGACTTCTTCGCGTTTTGCAGGTGCCTCTCCAGCTCGCGAATGCGTTCCCTGTACATGCCCTTCTCTTCCCACATAAGTTGCATCTGACCGAGCATCGCCGATCTCTCGGCCTCTGCAGTAGCAAGCTGCTGCCGGAACTGGTCGCAGCGTTCCTGAAGCCTTACATTCTCGAGCAGTAGCTCCAGCTTATTGCTCTCGGACAAAACCGAGCGGGCCGCCTCTGCCTGCTGGCAGCGCTCCTGAAATCCGCGACTCTCCTCTTGCAGCCGCTGCAGCTCCGCCCACCTTTCCGCAGCATCGGATTCGGCCTGCAAGAGACGCTGCTTTGTGCCGGCATGCTGCGCTGCTTCTGCCTCCAATCGGGCCACGAGCTCCTCACGACGCTCCTGGCACTTGCCATGCTCCTCCTGCGCCATCTGGAGCTCCTGCCGCATCTCCGTCACAGCTGACTCCGTAGCTGCAGCGCGAGTTGCGAGCTCTTCGCGCTGCTCCTTGAGATCTGCATTCTCGCTCTGGGCAGTTCGGAGCTCCGCATCCTTGCCGGACACCTGCGCCTCCGCCGCAGCCAGGCGATTGCGAAGATGTCGACACTCCTCCTCCTCCTGCGACTTCTGGAGCTCTGCCTCGAGGCGCAGGCGCTGAGAAGTCTCCTCCTCGAGCTTCTGCCGCTTCCGCGCCGTCTCTGAGCCCTCCGCCGCCACGAGCCGCTCCGCGAGCTCCCGGCAGCGAGGGCGGGTGTGGGAGCTCTGCAGGTACCCAGCCGCCTCGCGCTCCCGCTTCGCTGCTGAGTGCTCCGGCTCTCCTCGAAGGAGCCCCGCCTCGGAGAAGCGCCAGCAGCAAGCGTACTTCCCAAACTCGGCCGCCCCGTGCCGGTGCAGCGCCTCGCAGAGCCGCTCCGCCCTCGTCGCCGTGTTCAGCTCTCCGAAGCGCTCGAGCCAGGCCTCGGCCTCCGCCGGCTGCGAGGCCCAGAGCTCCAGCAGCCGCAGGCTCACCACCTCGCGAGCTCGGTTCGCATCAGAAGCAGTTGGACCATAAACAGCCAAGTGGGCGAAGGCGTCGATGAGGGTCGCCAGGGGCCAGCCGGCAGGGACTTCGGTCAGCTCATAGAGACGCTTTGCTTCGGACTGCTGGGGCATGCCGGCGGTGTCGCTGAACTCGGAAGGCCGGGACGGCGGAAGGAGCCCGCGGACTCGTCGCTTTGAGAACGGCCCAAGGAGTTTACGCAGTGGTGCAGAGCTCCAAACATGCAAACAACGTCTCCGACATGCTTCGATGGAAAGTCTGAAGTCCATCTCCCTGCAAGTCCCAGGCTCCCAGCTCATCCTCAGAGGTGAGGTCACAAAACGGAAGCCCAAATCCCCAAACCCCGAACCCTCTGAACCGTAGGCCCTCCATGTTTGAACCCGGAATCCTCACCTGAAGCCCGCTCTTCTGCCGTCGACTGGGGACGCAACGGGATGCCAAACGGATCGACACGGCCGCCTTCGGACGGAAGGTCTCGTATGGCTTAGACTTACCTTTGGTTTGTAGGGAGTGGAGGAATGGGGTATAATTATAGTACTATTACTACCATTCTTCTATTCCCTACTAACCAAAGGTAAGCAGTGGGCAAAGTCCTGCATTCTCTGAAGCATCCCAAACTATAGGGGGAGTTCTGTAACTTCGGGCCCGTTTTAGGACCCAAACATACTGCAGTCTCTTGTTCGAAGGACCCTGAAAGGGACCCTAATTTGGAGAACTACCCATGTTGGAAATTCGCGGTATCTACCTCATTGTGGGAAGTAGGTAAATAGGTGTTGTCCATCGGCAGTGTGTTTTGGGTTTAACTGGCTTATCTAACGCACCCTCTTCCCAAAACTAAGTAGGGAGTACCCGGGTAATGTAGACCCCTGAGTAATACACCCCATTCGGTAGAGGATCCATGGTATAGTCTCTGTTGAAACAGGGGTGCATTCATCAGAGGTCTACATTACCACACTCTACAAGACTCTGCAAACTAATGGGTCAAGGTCATAGAGACAAGACACATGCCCCCCACTACCTGTTAGAAGGCGGTCATCCCGTGTCAGGTCTCGGTTAGCCTTGCGAAGGCGGGTTAGGATAAACACATTCAGGGACGTGTGTAAGGGGATTAAGGTACGGCTTAAACTGGACACGCTCCTGAAATTGGGTTTCGGCTATCACCAGGCATCGTGGCCCACCCAAAACCTGGCCCCAGAATATTGCTTTCTCGTGGCCGGAAAGCAATTTACAAAACCAAGTTAGTCCGATGCAGGGTGTGTCGGACGTTACATTGAGGGATTGAGTCAAAGGGTATATGCGGATGAAGGCCTCGAGCTTAATCAAGGGTCTCAAGCCCGAAAAATTGGCCCTAATACCTGAATGCCCTAATCCGTAAAAGCCCTCAGGCACCTAAAGCCGTGACTCTCTAGTCTGCAAAACCCGTGGAGCCCGAAGCCCTAAAGCCATAAAAGAAGTGCGTACTATGCCCTACAGGCCTCAAAGCTGCAAAACCTTAGAAGCCCTCAGCCCGAAAAGCCCCTAACAACCTACAACCTTAAAGCCAACAGCCCTCAGGCAAAGCGGCAAAAGTCCTGAAGAGCTCAAACACTAAGCCCCAAAAGCCCGAAGCTCTGCAGCCCTTATCCTCAGAGACCCGGAGCCCTAATATAGGGGCCTTAATAAGTAGAATAGGATTTTGGGGCCCATTAAATACAATAACTATAATAAGGAACCCCCCAAAATAGTGGAGGTAATGATTTGGGCCCCTATATGGGAGTTTCCAAAAATTAGGGGTACCTTATTTTGGGGCCCTTATAATAAGGATCCTACTATTTAGGATACTATATTAGGGTCCCCTGTTTTCGGAAACTCCCATATTAATCCTTTTTGTTGGGGCGACCTCGGCCACCGGGCCCGCCGCATGGATGTTCTGGAGCTCCAAAGCAGCAAGACCAAGCACGGCGACCTGCGAAACATAGGGTTTCTAGGGTTTAAGGTTGAGGTTTTAGGGTTTAGGGTTTAGGGTACTGTAGAAGTAGGTTTGTCGAATTAGTAAGGGTTTACTGCTGCTCTATTTATGATGAAGTTTAAGCAGGGCTTCACGAGGGCTCTATCGGATTTTATCACGGTTCTTTGCCTCCAAGCACGATATTTTTCAACATGTTCCCACCCAGGGGTTGTTTAACTGTTTGTGGTCTATAGGCTAACCTATAGAGTCTTTTGATGGCCCTTCGTGTTCTACAACCCGAAGACCCTGAATCCGAAACAATAAATCTTCGCCCCTCCATCTCCTATCGCACAGTGCCCTTCAAAGTCCTTCCTACCCAAAGGCTCCAAAGTAGTTCCTTTTTGGGGTTCATATTTTGAAATCTATAAGTCCCAAAAAAAAGGAACTACTATGGGGCCTATGGGTAAATTCCTCCAGAGCCCTTACAACATGTAAAAAAGATGTTGGTGTCCATTGCAGTTCTCTGGACGGTCCGTCCTCCTCTTGCTGTTGGAGGAGGTCGGCCAAGGTAGCCTGAAGAAGGGCTTCTTGCGGTTTAGGGCTTGAGGGCTTTAGTTTCAGAGTATAGGATTTAAGCGGATTTATGCGGGGTGGTTGTAGCGTTTAGGGTTCGTTGAAGGCGTAATCCGAAACAGTCAAAATCAAAGCTGCGGTCGCGAAATGATACTGGTACCCCACTTATTTGCCAGCGGTTACGGGTGGAGAAGGAAAATTGACAATCTCCAGCTCAACACATCCTAATACCATTGACCTGAAAGCCCAAACCCGACAAGCCTAAGACCCTGGAACTGTCAACCCTCAAACCGCAAACCCAAATAACTAGAGTGAAATAGGCCGGTGTTTTGCGAATCCCATGCCTTTTTAGTGTATGGGAACTGTAAGGAATACATTCTATACTATTAGCCGCAGCCCTTGACGTAACAAAAGTGACGGCATAGAAGAAGCCCGGCAATCCCCGACCACCCGAAGTCTTACGTTCTAAGTTCGTGCTGGCGGAATGAGGGCAACTCCCAGGTGCAGGATTTAAGTTTTTAGGGTTCGCCGCGGAGGGCTCGAATTCCGCTGACGGCTTGACTGTCAAGCTAGAGGACTTAAGGCAATTGAGGTTCAAGGCTGCGCGACACAATATCTACCATAACCTCCGTTGTTGTTGTAGGACCTGAACGTGTAAGCCAAAACCCGAACCCGAATCAAACATTGGACCCTCGACCCTAAACTCCTACACTCCCTAACCCTACACCCTAGACTCTCTAAGCCTGCACCCTAAACCTCGAACCCCAAGCTCCCCAACTCTGAACCCAAAACCCTCAAACCTACACCCCAAATCCGAAACCCCGAACCCCCGATCCAAATCCCCCGCAGAAGCCTCGACCAAGCCCGGCATGGCCCACCACAGCAGCCGGGACTTCCACCAGTGGACGAGACGGGGCCTTGAGAATGGCTTGAGAAACTAGGGGCCTTGCCAGTATGGCGATGAAGTTTTGGGCCCCTTTATGGTATACTTATAATCAGGATACTAATTCGGATAGAATTTTAGGCCTCTTTAGAGTATACTTCTAGTCAGGAACGCTAAAGTATTGGTAATAGTTTACGCGTCCATAGTAGGGGCTTCGGCCTTGGGGTTTTAAGCTTTGCGGCTACTTGACGCTGGTAAGGGGCTCAAGGATATTCGGGTTCGTGGGACGTGTCGTTTAGATGTTTAGCATTCTGAAGTTGAGGTTTGGGGCTGAGGAGCTGGAGAGTGTGGGGTTTAGGTTGCGAGAAGGACGGTAACACCTGAGGTCTTAACAAAGTCGAAACACACAGTGAACTTCAACCCAAAGACAGGGACCAATCCATAAACCTAAAGCCCTCATCTCAGCGGGTTGGTGCACAAAGTCGTCCTTTATCGGAAAACCTAATCTCCAAACGTTGGTTGGAAGGGTCCCGAGGAAGTCGCACTTTTGCACGGAGTGATTCGGGTTTCGGGTTTTCGGCGGTCTATGTGCTTTCGTGCGGACGGATTGGAGCTGAAAGATTGTACGGTTGAGGATCGGCACCCTGAAACTCCGCCGGCTGAGTGTCTGGCCACAGCCCTGTGAACCTCACAGTGCAGTGCGAGTAGGAGAGAGACTCCGAGGTTCTAGCAAGCAGGCTCTAAGTGGGCATCATTATATGGGAGTTTCCTTATTCTAAGGGCCCCCAGAATGGCACCCTAATTTTCGGAAACTCCCATAGAACCCGAGTTGAGTTACTTTTGCCCGTTCTCGGGTTTCTCAGAAAACGCGAGGTGGAAGCGAGAAGGGTCTCCAGGAAAGGACTTCAGCCGAAGTAAAACGAAACTTCCTATCAGCACCTTGGAAGACCCTCAACCCCCGAAAACCGTCTCCAACCCGCCTTGCAAAGCCCGTCAAACCTTCTAAGACCTGTCAAGCAACCCCTTATACACAAACCTGTGAAAGACGAAAACCAAAAGCACGACAAAACCCTAAACCCAAAACCCCAAAAACCCCGAAAACCGCAAACCCCAAAACCCCTAAACCCCAAAAACCCCAAACCCCTTAAAGCCCAAAACCCCTAAACTCTACCCAAAAACCCCCAAAACCCCCCTAAACCCCCTAAACCCCCCCTAACCACCCCCCCAACTCAGCTCAGCTCAGGGGCTCCTCCGAGGCCTCCGACGAGGCCTCCGAGCAGGCGCCGAAGTGCCGCTGCTGGCGGAAGGCGTCCCGGAGCCTCGGCTCAGGTAGCGGCCTTAATAACTAGAAGAGGGTTCCCTTTTAAGGGTTCCTTTTCAGGCTCCCTGTTAAGGGTTCCTCTTAAGGGGTCTATAAGGATTACGAAAAGGGTTTACTAAAGGAGCCTCGGCTCAGGCTTGGGGTTTAGGGGTTTAGGGGTTTAGGGTTTCCGGAGCCTCGGCTCAGGAAGCGGCCTGAAGAATTAGAATAGGGTTCCTTGTAAAGGGTTCCTTTAAAAAGGGTCTATTACAAGGTGCTAAGGCAACCCCTGGGGCAACCTCTCTGAGCAGGAATGGTCTTCAGAGGTGTGTATGTGTGTGTGGGCGTCCTTCTGCACACCAGCCGTTGCTCCTCTCCAAGGCTTTGAGGATAAGGCACAGGTGCCCGCCAATGAAGCTCCTTAAAGCTCAAACTCTCTCAGGGTGAACCCCCAGATCCCGATTTTGGGAGGGGAAACGCCCTCGTTCCGGAGTCTAGTTAGACAACACTTTTTGCATGCATTAAACCTAGTACGTGCCTATGCTGGCTGCTTTAATGTATGACCCCAACGAGCTTCGATTCCACGCAAAACTTGCACGGAATGACACTACTCGAATGCTCATGCTGGGCCTGGACCAGCTGAGAATCGTTGAGCTGCACTGAAGCCCTTTGATGCCCATTGAAACTCATTAAGCATCATTGGCTTTCATTGGGCCTCGATGGCTTTCAATGGGCCGCGATGAGGTCATGCACTTCTCGAGAGGGTTTCCCTGACAGGGTTCCCTTGGAAGCCTGTAAGTCTATAAGGATTACTATAAGGAGGCTCCAGTAGCGAGTGGGCAAAAACCCTAAACCCTAAACCTTTTCATAGGGTGGTTAGAGTTTAAGAAGGGGGGGCTCCCAGGGTTTTTGAGTGGGTTCGCACAAGGCTCTGCAGGATTTATGGATCTACTGCAACGATCATGGGACTTAGTCAGTCGGTTCCTCAACCAGTACACCCTCAATCCAAAACACAACACCCTTTGTAAATCGATAAAGTCAACCTGAAGGGCATCACTTCTTCAAAAGGTCTACCTTGCGATGGAAATGATGTTTAGGGCTTTAAGGATGAGGATTAGGTGTTAGGGAAGAGCGATACTTACGCCTGGCCGTCTGTTAAGCGCATACTGACATGCATGGAAGTCTGGCGAAATCATCTTTTTAAAGCTTGGCTCGATGGCAGAACCATCTACCTTCAGATCCGAATCAACAGCTATGAACATCAACAAAACACTCTGTTGTTCAAAGAGGACCCTATTGATCTAAAAGCACTGGCAACCTGCAGAGCATTGTGGCGACACTTCGCAAGCAAATGTCCGAATATTGGTACAGACAAAGATGCGTGTGGTCTCCACTGGTTGCGACCACGCACGGCCTGGCGGATGCAACCCCCAACATGTGTTCCTGTTCTTGGCAGCCCGAACCAAACCCGTACCAGGCTTGCGGTGTTGCAACCTTCACCCTACCAGTGCAGGCCCTGTCAACCACATTGTCAACAATTAACACAAAACCTTCCGCTCAAGATTTTCCGGCCGCTGCTCCGAACAGTAGACCCTCATCCCTCACCTCTGAACATCTGGATGCCTTCTGGAATCCTGACCCAGAGAGCCCAATCACAATATGAAGCCCTATATAATTTAAGCCGTATTCCTTAATTAAGGGGATTTGGGCTCTCTGGGGAGCAAGCTCATACAGGCGCATACCTGCAGTCTGTGTTTCTGCAGTCTCTGCCCTGGTCCGGCGTATCTTGCGGGGGATGCCGGGGGAAAGCCGAAGGGGCCCTAAACCCTAGACACCAAACGGTGCTTACTGGTGCTCTACCTCGACGTTTCACGCACTGCAAACCGACAGTCGCTGCTTTGACAGGGTCAAAACTCTGCGTTGAGGCGGGCCCGGGCGAGGCCAGGAAACAAAAATACTCTAAGATAGCGGTCTGAATAACTAGCACTACCAGTCTTACTCTTTCAGGTTTCGTAACATCACGACGATGTACCCCAAAGCTCGATTCGAGTGATTAAGGCCCCCTTGTATCTTATTTTGGCGGCCCTATAATAAGGATCTCACTATGTAGGGGTATTATATTGGGGTCCCTTGTTTTGGGAAACTCCCATATTAGCTACAAAAGCCCTCGAGGATTAGGGTTGAAGGCATTAAGGTTTAAGGTTTAGGGTTCTTTTGTTAAGGTTTAGGGTTTAGGGTTTAAGGTTTAGGGTTCTTTTTTTAAGGTTTAGGGTTTAGGGTTTAAGGTTTAGGGTTCTTTTTTTAAGGTTTAGGGTTTAGGGTTTAAGGTTTAGGGTTCTTTTTTTAAGGTTTAGGGTTTAGGGTTTAAGGTTTAGGGTTCTTTTTTTAAGGTTTAGGGTTTAGGGTTTAAGGTTTAGGGTTCTTTTTTTAAGGTTTAGGGTTTAGGGTTTAAGGTTTAGGGTTCTTTTTTTAAGGTTTAGGGTTTAGGGTTTAAGGTTTAGGGTTCTTTTTTTAAGGTTTAGGGTTTAGGGTTTAAGGTTTAGGGTTCTTTTTTTAAGGTTTAGGGTTTAGGGTTTAAGGTTTAGGGTTCTTTTTTTAAAGGTTTAGGGTTTAGGGTTTAAGGTTTAGGGTTCTTTTTTTAAAGGTTTAGGGTTTAGGGTTTAAGGTTTAGGGTTCTTTTTTTAAGGTTTAGGGTTTAGGGTTTAAGGTTTAGGGTTCTTTTTTTAAGGTTTAGGGTTTAGGGTTTAAGGTTTAGGGTTCTTTTTTTAAGGTTTAGGGTTTAGGGTTTAAGGTTTAGGGTTCTTTTTTTAAGGTTTAGGGTTTAGGGTTTAAGGTTTAGGGTTCTTTTTTTAAAGGTTTAGGGTTTAGGGTTTAAGGTTTAGGGTTCTTTTTTTAAGGTTTAGGGTTTAGGGTTTAAGGTTTAGGGTTCTTTTTTTAAGGTTTAGGGTTTAGGGTTTAAGGTTTAGGGTTCTTTTTTTAAGGTTTAGGGTTTAGGGTTTAAGGTTTAGGGTTCTTTTGTTAAGGTTTAGGGTTTAGGGTTTAAGGTTTAGGGTTCTTTTTTTAAGGTTTAGGGTTTAGGGTTTAAGGTTGGGTTTAGGGTTCTTTTGTTAAGGTTTAGGGTTTAGGGTTTAAGGTTTAGGGTTCTTTTTTTAAGGTTTAGGGTTTAGGGTTTAAGGTTTAGGGTTCTTTTGTTAAGGTTTAGGGTTTAGGGTTTAAGGTTTAGGGTTCTTTTTTTAAGGTTTAGGGTTTAGGGTTTAAGGTTTAGGGTTCTTTTTTTAAGGTTTAGGGTTTAGGGTTTAAGGTTTAGGGTTCTTTTGTTAAGGTTTAGGGTTTAGGGTTTAAGGTTTAGGGTTCTTTTTTTAAGGTTTAGGGTTTAGGGTTTAAGGTTTAGGGTTCTTTTTTTAAGGTTTAGGGTTTAGGGTTTAAGGTTTAGGGTTCTTTTTTTAAGGTTTAGGGTTTAGGGTTTAAGGTTTAGGGTTCTTTTTTTAAGGTTTAGGGTTTAGGGTTTAAGGTTTAGGGTTCTTTTTTTAAGGTTTAGGGTTTAGGGTTTAAGGTTTAGGGTTCTTTTTTTAAGGTTTAGGGTTTAGGGTTTAAGGTTTAGGGTTCTTTTTTTAAGGTTTAGGGTTTAGGGTTTAAGGTTTAGGGTTCTTTTTTTAAGGTTTAGGGTTTAGGGTTTAAGGTTTAGGGTTCTTTTTTTAAGGTTTAGGGTTTAGGGTTTAAGGTTTAGGGTTCTTTTTTTAAGGTTTAGGGTTTAGGGTTTAAGGTTTAGGGTTCTTTTTTAGGTTTAGGGTTTAGGGTTTAAGGTTTAGGGTTCTTTTTTTAAGGTTTAGGGTTTAGGGTTTTTAAAGGTTTAGGGTTTAAGGTTTAGGGTTCTTTTTTTAAGGTTTAGGGTTTAGGGTTTAAGGTTTAGGGTTTTTTTTTAAGGTTTAGGGTTTAGGGTTTAAGGTTTAGGGTTCTTTTTTTAAGGTTTAGGGTTTAAGGTTTAAGGTTTAGGGTTCTTTTTTTAAGGTTCAGGGTTTAGGGTTTAAGGTTTAGGGTTCTTTTTTTAAGGTTTAGGGTTTAGGGTTTAAGGTTTAGGGTTTTTTTTTAGGGTTTAGGGTTTAAGGTTTAGGGTTTTTTTTTAAGGTTTAGGGTTTAGGGTTTAAGGTTTAGGGTTCTTTTTTTAAGGTTTAGGGTTTAGGGTTTAAGGTTTAGGGTTCTTTTTTTAAGGTTTAGGGTTTAGGGTTTAAGGTTTAGGGTTTAAGGTTTAGGGTTTAGGGTTTACCGAGGGCCTAAACGAATGATCAGTTGGGGCAGATTGCGGGGTAAGAGCAAGGTGTGAAGTACAACGGTATATCAATGTCGGGGTCGGAATGTGTAGTAATGGCTCCTTACAGGTATGCTAAGACTGAGATTATTAACTCGAAAGACCCAATTCGGATCAAGGCTCCATGTCAAACTCAATATTCGCAGCTCAATGTTCGGCTGTCCCTCTACCCTGCGCCCGAAACCTCAACCCCAAGCCCGAAACCCTGAGCCAAACCCACCTACTACTACTACTACTACTACTACTACTACTACTACTACTACTACTACTACTACTACTACTAATTACTACTACTACTACTAATTACTACTACTACTACTACTACGACTACTACTACGACTACTACGACTACTACTACTACTACTACTACTACTACTACTACTACTACTACTACTACTACTACTACTACTACGACAACTACTACTGCCAAACCCACCCGAACCTCCCGGCGCTTCGCGCCGCTGCGTCGAAGGCCGCGTCGAAGGCAGCGGAAGCTGGGAGCGACTCGAGGGGAAGCTGCAGCCTGGACTACAGGGTGTAGGGGTTTAGGGGTTTAGGGTTTAGGGTTTAGGGGTTTAGGGGTTTAGGGTTTAGGGTTTAGGGGTTTAGGGTTTAGGGGTTTAGGGGTGTAGGGTTTAGGGGTTTAGGGTTTAGGGTTTAGGGTTTAGGGGTGTAGGGGTTCAGGGTGTAGGGTTTAGGGTTTGCCTAATATAGGGGCCTAAATCATGAGAATCGCGCTCCTTTAAAGGCTCCTATTATAAATAAATACCTACACTATTTTGGCCGTATTATGAACTATAGTACCATGGGCCCCAAACCCCTTTTCTAATTGTTAAGGGCCCTATAGTAGGTGCAGGGTTTAGGTAGGGTGTTGCGTTGAAGGCCTCTTGTCCCAAAGCCCAAAGATGAACGGACCTGCCAAGTCCCACGATCCTCCAAGCAACACAAGCGCCGTAACTATCAGGATGTGGTTTTGGGGCATATCATGCTATACTTATTATATTACAGAAGGAACCCTGAACGGCCCTACACCAACCCCTGAACCCTAAGCCATAAGCCCATAAACCCTAAGCCCTGAAACGAACTGTTCAATCAAGGAGCAGGTGTCTCACCTTCTCCGAGCCATCGCCAAGGCGCGGGCGCCAGGCGCGGGGGATCCATTCCTGCTGCCGAAGTCGGGGGTTCAGCCTTTAGCGTTTAGGGTGCGGCATTTTGTGGGGTTTAGGATACGTGTCTGTACTGGTATGCAGCATGCCGAAAGACTTGAAGGTTCAGGGGATTGGGCGAAGGAGCCATGCTTAACTCCAATTGAGCTACCTATCTGGGTGCTAGGCTTCAGGAACCGAGGTTTGAGAACACAACAAAGCTTAGGACTTGGGAAACCGTCCCGGGGAATCTGGTGTTAGGTGTCGAAAGTCCGGAAAATATGGATTCGACTGGAAAGGACCTGGGATGTATCTCGGGGTCCCCTTGATTCCGTTGTCCACGAAGCTGTCAGAGCAATATTAGTTGCCCCTTGGGGCCTGCTCACCGAAACAGGAGAACACACATACCCCTCATAGAATCGTGAATCTGAACTTTATAAGACTTCTGAGCATTCAAAGACTGAAACTCCAAACCCCGCAAAAAAAAAACAATCTAAGGCCTCACCTGGTAAATCCTACAATCCAAACCCTATACTAGTTACTAGCCCCAGACTAAACCCTGAATCCCAAACGCTAAACCCAAACAAGGCTTCACCTTAAAGCCTTAAACCCCAAACCTTGGTTAGCAAAAGCCCTGAAACCAAGGCTGTCCCAATCCCTGATGTAGCGGTCTGAAAAGGCAGTTTGGTAATGTCCGTTCGTCCTTCTATAATGCTGTAACATGAAAACACATTCTAATGATTCAAGGCCCCTGTATAGCCAGGCCACCGGGTGCTTTGCTGCGAAGTTGACGATCACGGCCAGTATCAAACATAGCGTCGTGGGCCATTCCCACATGAGGGGCTAGCTCTGAGGATCGACTCCCTACATGGGAGTTTCCGAAAATTAGGGATACCTTATTTGGGGGTGCTGATAATACGGCTCCTACTATTTAGGATACTATATTAAGGTCCCTTATTTTCGGAAACTCCCACATCTTACGTGCCTAACCAGAGCCTTTTTTCACGGGATTCCACTTAGCATTGCTGCATCGTTGACTGCCTAGCAGCATAGGGCTTTCGAAGCTGAGGCTCTCCTTGCAAGAGCTACATACTCAAGCAAGCCACACCGGTTTCTGGTCCTGCTGCGGGATGTAAAGGTTCAGGGTAACAGAGTTTTAGGGGCTTAGGGTTTAGGACTTCGGTTTTGGGGTGTAAGTTTTAGGGGCTTAGGGTTTAGGGCTCAGGTTTTCGGATTTAGGGGCTTATGTCTTCGGTTTTAGGGTTTAGGGAATCTAGCGTTTAGGGCTTAAGGTTTAGGGTCTACACTATCTCTGACTGGGTCTACTGCGAGCAGATATTCATCGCAGCTGCGGAAGGCAAGGGCAAGGGTGGTGAGGACAAGCACAGAAACTTCCCCGACTTCAAGATTATTAGCTGCAGTAGCGTAAGACTGGAAGAAGACCTGTGAGCTTTATCACTATGCGGATGGCGCTGTAAGCATCAACAGACATGCAATCCCCACCAGGATAATAAGTAGTGTAGGTGCCTTAGTAATTCGACTGGGGTTCTCTGGTATGGTATAGTGCAATAGATTCAACAGGAATGGCATAAGCAACCCTAAAGAGAGTCATATTGGCAAGTGCCTTAAACCCCTACATCCTAAATCCGAAACCTATGGAATAACACTAGCAACTACCCTGAAGCCTCCTCTGGGACCTAAATCATGAGAGCAATTAATAAGCATAACATGCTTTCGGGGCATGTTATACTACAATTACAATAAGGAACCCTGCAATAGCACTGGCAATTAGACCCTAAACCCTACAGAAAGGGCTGCCATGGGGCCTGCGTTTGTGAAACGGCAGGTTTCACGGGATTCGACCTTTGGGTAGAAGGAAGCTTGTGAAGGATTTGCGCACTTAGATCGACTCTAAGCACTTTCTGCTCCAGCTGATCACTGAAAATCCGGATCGGCGCCGGCGGCGCTCCGGCGGGAGTAAGTTGCTTCATGGCATACTCGATGGCATACTTTAAGTCACTAAGCATTCCGGACTATATTATCTACATATTCTGATAGCCTGGTACGGTACCATACGACGAAAGCCAGATATCCGTGAGAGTTATGCATATTGCGCTGTGGCTTCTGGGCTAAATGAGCTTGAACAGTTCCACTTGCATCTGACAGTCACCATTAGAGTTACCACACACAGCCAATCCGTCCAACGCGGCTAAATCTCAAACCCTAACCCCTAAATCAATTCTTCTGCACGTTGTTGATTCCTTACCTGAAGCGAGGGAGGCTTCTTCAAGGTGTGTGAATGAGTGAACCCCAAGATCATAAACCCTAAACCCTAAACCCTAAACCCCATACAGCTTGCTGTAGTAGAAAAAGTGGGTCCTCCCAGGTTTTGGGCTCAGGCCAGTCTCGTCTGCTAGGCGTCGGCTCAGTACTTGTCAACGCTCCTGGGGTTTAGGTCTTAGGATTCGGGGTCTCTGTTTTAAGGGTTTGGGGTTTAGGGATTGGGGCTTGTCTTTTTAAGGGTTTAGAGTTTAGGAAGGTTTTGGGTTTGGGGTTTAGGTGTTAGGGTTTAGGGTGTAAGGCGCCGAAACGCAAAATGGACTTCCTTCTACAGACCCTATGCTGTGATTGATCTACTACACAAGCACAAGACAACAAAAAGACACGCCTTTCCAAGCGCGGCCCAGATGCGTGGAAATCTTTGTGTAGGGGTACCTAGTTCATGGTTGGGATCGTACAAAAAAATGAACACCTTTTTTCCTTGTTGAAATTCAAACACCAATAAACACGTAAAAGTTTCCACAAGAATCCCTAAACCCAAAAAACCCCTAAACCCTTAAACCCCTAAACCCTTAAACCCCTAAACCCCTATATAAACCCTTAAGCCGTGCCAAAGGTACTTGTTAGGCTCAAAGGCCACCTTTCGAAGGGCACAAGAGGCCTTACAGGCTAGGTGCCGGCCGAGGGTGCCCGTAATCCTCGGTTCAGGGGTGCCTCATTTTGGTGTCCTTATAATAAGGATCCTACTATTTAGGGTACCAGGATATCTTCGGGTACGGCCCCCACTTAGCAATAGTTGGATAATATTCATAATATATACATATTAGGACCTTAGTGGTGGCCCTATTATAGACTCTTACTGTATGGGGGCGGTGCCTACAGGATATTTTCTTTCAAAGGAAGGTTTGGGGGCTTGGGGCTTGGGGCTTGGGGTTTGGGGTTCAGGGTTCAGGGTTAGTTAAAGGTGTTTGAGAAAGAGACCTAGTTTATGGATTCAAAACAAGAGACCCCAAAATGACCAGAGAAAAAGGGTACTACTGTGGCACCCGGAATCGTGTCCAGAAAGGTGCCAATGAACTCTGGGATCATTGCAAAGACCCCCAAGGCGCTGCCTCGGGTGCTCTTTAAAGGGGTTTAGAGGCCTGAGGTTTTTTTTGTTTGAAGGCTTCTCTCCTCACCGCATGAATCCAAAAGGCCTTAGGTTTAGGGTCTAGGGCTTAGAGGGCTTAGGGTTGCTTTGAAAAAATTCCTTTCGCGAGGTCTTTTGAAGAGCTCCTCTAAGGGCGGTCTAGGTGGCCGCAACGGTCTTATCAAGTCTTAACCTCACGCTTGTGACAGCTGACATAACGAAGCTCCTGAAGAAAAAGCCCAGCGACTGTCGGCAATGTTGTCGTGGTCCAAGCCGTTCCCAATCATTCGGAAGGCGAGCATGCACTCTGTGCGTCCGCCACCCGTGCGTGTCCACGCCACTCGTTCACCTGAGGTGGGCCGCTGCGAGGTTATTTGGGTTACCACAGAAGCCGTAAGAATGACCCATACTATTTTGTAGTCTCTTTAATTTAATTGTAGTATAATGGGCCCCGCAACCCTATTCTAATTATAAAGGCCCCTGTATTAAGGTACCCTATTCTAATTATTAAGGCCCCAAAAGTTCACATTTCATAAGGCCTCTATAGCCAGGGCTTAGGGCTTGGGGTTATAGGGCCGCCTGAGGCCGAGAAAGGGTTGTGCAAGCCGTCGTAGGAATGCTGGCAGCAATAGCAACCCAGCTCCGTTTTCCAGGCCATGCCGGTATTTTTAAGCGGCTCCAACGTTACACCAGAATCCGGATCGATCGTGGAGAACATCACCTTCCCAGTCGACATGTGCACAGGTCCATTCACTGGGTCGTAGACGGTAGCAGTCTCTTCATCCTCGAGATCCGTCTTCCTGCTTGAAATGCAAGCCCAGCCCCCGAGGCACTTCGTGTTGAGCACCGTCTCCTTGCCGGGACATTCCACCTTCTGGATGAAACCTCCTTGCTCACAGCTCGCCAGGTACGTCTTGGTGCAGCCGTTGGCGTGCTGCTTGTAGGCAAGGACCACGTTCTTCTCCTCCTTCCATTCATCTGCCAGGTATCGGAAGGAGCCATATGTGTCATCCTCCATACCATGGACACCTTGATACTGGACGAACAGCCAGTGGTCGCAGAGGTTTGTGCTCTTTTCAGCTGACACGGTGTCAGTATCCAGACGCACAGCACCGACCACCATAAGGAGCTGTGAAAGGACGAGCATGTTTCACACAACGAAAGCTTTGCAGAATCTGCTATTTGAGGTGAATCAGCTTGACGAAGATACAAGGCATTGGGAGGGAGAACAAGTCTGCAGAAAACTGCCTAGGCAGTAGTGGCTTGTAGCGATGGCGATAGTTGGTGATGCTCGAGTAGCTGTACCACCAGCAGTAGCAGCAGAAGCAGTAGCAGCAGCAGCAGCAGCAGCAGCAGCAGTAGCTGCGGCCATATTGGTGGCAGTAGCAGGTCTTGTGGTCATGGTGGTAGTAGTAGCAGATGCCGTCGTCGGGATGGCGTTGACAATAGAAGTTGTCGTCGTCGCCCCGGCCGTCGTAGTGGAAGTGACACCGGTAGAGATGAACATGATGAACCACAGCAGAAAGCGTCAGATGAAGAAGCATTTGCATGGCGATGATGGGGAAACAAGACGCGAGCTTAAGAATCGGCAGCTACCAAGACGACGACGAAAACGGAGACGAGGATGGCGGTGATGATGATCTGAAACATCATTGAATTCAGCCCTTCCGGCTACTCAAAAAAATACTCAGCATCTCCTTGACTCTTTTGGCCTGCAAGGTTCCTTGCATCGCATAGTACCGTGGTCTCGACGCTTCTTGCGAAGATTCCGCCCTACTCGCAGGAGCAGGCGCCTGGCCGCAGGAAGCGCCGAAACGGGAGCACTCAAAATCGATTGCTGCACTGATCACTGATCACTACCTTAAACTACCAAACCCTACTTTTTTGTAGGTTCTTATTATAAACCCAAATATGGAATTTATAGGGACCCTACAAAATAGTAGGTTTTGGTAGCTCAAGGTAATAATTAGTGCCGCCAAGAGGTGCCGCCCAAGGTACCTACTTAGCTAGGTATTGTGCGGTTCTCAAAGTGTTTCCGAAACCACGATGACTCAAAAAATATTGGGCTCGAAGCATGCATACCGATTAGTCCCCTTATTCGGCACCAAACTTTCAAGAAGCCCACCCTCCGGCGTCAGGTTTTGGAGCTATACGGCTGAGAGATTCTCAAAATGCCAAGGGTTGTTTCTTGGGGCACTCGCCGAAGGGGGGACGATCTGCGTGTGCATTGCGCTTGAAATGGAACAGAGCTGGCAGCTAAAGGATGCTACAGGTCCTTCCTGGATTCGCCAAAGGCCAGCTTGAAAAAGGTGGGAACTGTGCAAAGCGCTGCTCACGCAGAATTCAGGCAAGGGGCCCTGCTCTGTGGCAGGTACCCCTACAAACTACCGGCGAACATCATTGATAAACAATTTTTTAGATGAAGGGGGAGACCTTGCGAACGACGCCCCGGCCCTGGGAGTAGTGGTAGAGGGTGGTGTAGCCCAGGTGGAAGGGAAGCCAGGCATACTGCAGCGCCTTGCCCAGCACCTTGTGGGCGTCGATGGACTGCTTGGCGAGGCGGTCGTTCCTGCGATCGTCCTCGGCCTTGCCGGTCTTGTCGGAGCCCGGTGCCCACTTGAGGAAGTACTCGTTGGCGATGCCGGACACAGGCAGCAGCAGGGCGAAGGCGTAGAAGGCCCGCAGGCTCTGCGTCTCGATCATCTGCACGAGTTTGTTGCCTGGGAAGCGTGGCGGGATGCCGCTCTGCATTCGGAAGATCACACGGAAGACCAGCGCTACCAGCATCAGGATACCTGTCTGCTTGTGCCACCAGAGCATCTGCTTCTTGGCCTGACCCTCCGAGTAGGATGCGGCCTGGGCAGTGCCCACAGCACCGAAGATGCCGACGGCCATGATGAGGTGCAGATGCCTCAGGGCCCGGCTGTAGGTGAACTGTGACAAGGGCTTGCGGTTCTGGAAGGTCTTGAAGAGATACCAAGCCAGGGCGGCAACCGCCACGTCTGTGACCTTGTACTTCAGGTAGCGGCCAATCTCAGAGGTCTCCTCGCCGACCACCTGCTGCACTGCTGCCGACTCCGACCAGTCCGTGTTCTCTGCCGGCACCAGCTGGCCCACCAGCATGTCGCGGTCTCGCTGCACTCGTGCCTTCTCAGAATGCTCGAAAACCTCAAAGTCCTTGGTGCAATCCGTGCCTGCCTTGGACATCAGGATGTCGTCGCCGCCGGGGTGGCTGCCCAGCAGGGGCTTGAGGTTGTAGACACGGTTGTGGATGATCATGTAAGGCTCCTCCGCAGTGTTGTGCTTGGCAACCTCGGCACGAGAGAAGAACGGAAGGTCCTTGCCAGCCGAGATCTCCGCCAACTTGGGGAAACGGCTCTCCTCCGACAGGGTCGGCGCATCCGTCTTGCCCGGCACCTTCACGGCCGTCTTCACCGCCTCGATTTCCTCCTTGGAGGGGCCCTCCAAGCGTCGCAGCTCGTCGTGCAGCTCGCGCAACTCCATGATGATGGAGTCCACTGGCTTCTCCGGGCCGACCTTGCCGGTCTTGAACTCCGGGCGCATGTAGTACTCCATCCACTGCTTGCTGGGGAACCTTCCCGGGATCTTGTCGAACATGGGCGTCGCATCGCGGCCGGCCCATGCCAAGATAGAGTTGCGCTGCTCCTGGTGGTGCTGCAGGAAGTCGGTCAGGTCGAAGACCTCGCCGCAGATCGCGATCCAGCAGTCGTGCGGCTTGTTGTGCCGGGCGACCTCCGACAGGGGAATGTCGCTGCTCGTCCAGCCCAGGGGCACATCGTGCTGATGAGCGTGGTCCTGCAGGTGCAGTGCACACTTTTCTTACCTTTGGATAGTAGGGAGTGGAGGAATGGGGTACAAGTATGACTACTATTACTACCAGTCTTCCATTCCCTACTAGCCAAAGGTAAGTTTTGGGCACGCAGTCAACCCTAAACCTCCCTGCAGCTGGGACCCTCGCCCCGGAGGCCTAAGCCATATATCTGCTTTTGACGAACTCATACAGGCATGAACCCTAGAATTGTAGGTTTAGGGTTTGGGGTTTAGGGTTTAGGTGTTCCTGAACCTGCCAGCGAACCCCTATAGACCGCGATCCGGAATTTTTAGGAACCCCACAAAAAGTTGCTCAGCCAAGGTATATCTGTAGCCCACACCCTGCAGAACGACTGGTGATAACTCCCATAACTTCCGTGGTCATGGTTAAACCCTTATTTATTAAGCCCTGAATCCTCAATCCGACACCCTCAAGCCTACTAATATAGGGCCCTACTATTTAGAATAGGGTTTGGGGGGCCATTATAATATGATTACAAAAAAGGAGCCCCCACAATAGTATTGGTAATAACTATTGAAGCTGCCTTGTGGCTGAGGACTTCTTCCATCTCTCGCTTCACCTCTGCGGCTTGCGCGAAGTCCTGGCCAGTCGTTGAACCTTAACCTACCAGAACTTACGGTTTTGTGGGGGTCCCTAAAAGTCTACGTGAAGACTCACAATAAGAACCTACAAAAACTAGGTTGCAGTAGCTTGCAGGTATAGCCTAAACTCTGGGCCATTAATTAAACCTTAGAACCAGTAGAAGCTCTCGATAAGCTGTTTAACGGCCCTATGAACCCGATAAAGCCTGTAAGCCCTACAAGCCCTGAAAGAACCATGAACCCTAAACCTAACCTCCATCCCAAACCCTAAGCCTAAACTCGACAAATCCTAAAAGCCCTACAGACCCAAAACCCTTTCTGACCCAAAAAACGCAAAGCGCACGCAGCTTACCAGCCATCAGCTACCCAGCCCTCGCCGGGACCTCGGCGTCCAAAGCCACGCGCTTCTTCGTCTCGAGGCGCTGAAGCTTCTTCTTCAGCTCTGCGTCGACGTTCCTTGTAATTACGGGGGTTGAAAAATGTGTGCAGGGATAATGGGCCTTACAGGACTTATAGAGGTTCTAGGGCGTGCCAGGTTCACCATAGGGTTAGGGGTGGTTGGGGGTTAGGGTCTATGGCTTCTTCTTCATCTCTGGGATTGATGGCTAAAGAGGCTCCCTGATCTAGGACAGGGTTTTGAGTGTAAGTGTAAGAGAGTGTATCCAACGTAGAACCCAGAACCCCGGTTAGACTATTGAGACACCTATTTTGTAACTACCAAAGCTGCAATACCCTCACCGAGATTGCCGGGAGGATCTAGGAAGTAGATCCCCTAATTTGGGGCCTTATACTAAGGAACCCCCATTAAGGGATTTACTTTTTGGATCCTCCCGGGGGTCTGGGCAATCATCCTGCTCCTCTAGTCGCTAGCCTCACCCGAAACGAGACAGAGGAACAGTAAAGAACTCCGGGCAGGAACCGTTCAGGAAGCCCTCAAGGACCCGCACCCCGCAAGGACATTAAAACGCGAAGCCCTAAATCCTGCACCCTTACAGCAGCCCTTACGAAAACATGAAAGAGGCCAAATAGAAACCTTATAGAACCCTCATAGAATCCTTTTGGAACCCTTAAAAAAAGAAGCCTTGTAGAACTGTTATAGAACCCTTATAGAACCCTTTTGGAACCCTTACGGAAGCCTTATAAAGAACTGTTCTACTAACCCCTCTTAGAGCAACCGTCAAAGAGTGCCAGCGCCAAGAGGAACCTCTGCGACCCGCTTGCAGCCCGGCTGCTTGTCTTCCAGGATCTTCGGGATGCTGTCGGCCTGGTAAAATTTATAGGATCCTTAAGGGAGGGTGGTTCAAGGGGGGAGGGTATTATACGGTATAAGGAATCCTTAGGGGACTGTAAGGGAACCTCAGGGAGTACTAGGGAGGATTAGGGATCACTAAGCTATATACCCCCTTGGACCCCCCTCCCTTAAGGATACTACAATAAAATCTAGCTACACTTTAGGAGCCGAGGGTTTTGGGGTTTGGGGTTTAGTGGCTTAGGGTTAAGGGTTTAGGGAGCTTCGGGTTTAGGGCTGAAATTAGCAGGATTTTGCAGGGTTGTGGGCTTAGTTCCAAGCAAAGATTGAAGATTGTTGAGGCGTTCACAGGGTTTGTTCGTTCTTGTTGGAAGGCGTTGTAAGGTCTTTGGGCGTTGAGGGGTTTGGGGGCTAGCAGCTACAAGTGTCTGCTTGTCAGAGAGCATTGTTGAGTGGGAGCCCCT